TATCTAGACCTCAATTGATTAATATGTCTCTTATGACAAAATCATCCATCTTTGACAATGTACATCATACTACCAAGGCATTGACCAATTTTTCCTTCCTGCCAATTTTTTTTCCAGCCTTAAAGCTTTTAAAGAAAACATTATCACTGATCATAGTAGGTTGAAATTGCTGAACCTTCTTATTATTCCTTGGCAGTAATTTGTTAAAAATGAATCTAACTTTTCTAGTAAACCTGAGTTCTGCAGGTGGCATTTTTGCAGTGACATTTGCATTTGACATCATTCGATACATGCTCAAAAATTCTTGTTATACTGTTTCTTCAGCTTCTCTTAATGCTCTTTTAAAGAGTGTACACAAACCAATTCTGCTTGACCATTTGACCTTGAATAATAAATTGGTATTGTCAAACATTCAATCGCATAGAGTTTGCTGAAATTTTAAAACTCACTAGAAGTAAACTGAGTTCCATTATCAGATACCACACTGTCAGATACTCCAAACCTTGCAAAAAGTTTGCACAAGAATTTAATCATTATTGCAGTAGTAGGTTGTTTACAATTTAATATCTGGGACTATTTTGTGAAACTGTTGAGAACAATTAAATAATATGAACCATTTAATGGTCCAACAAAGTCCATATGTAGTCTTGCCCACAGTTTATCAATGTTTGGACATGCCTGATAATTTATCGGTGGTGAATTTGCTGCTGAATTACAACCATTACATGTTCTAATTTGCTGCTGAATTACAACCATTACATGTTCTAATTTGCTGCTGAATTACAACCATTACATGTTCTAATTTGCTGCTGAATTACAACCATTACATGTTCTAATTTGCTGCTGAATTACAACCATTACATGTTCTAATTTGCTGCTGAATTACAACCATTACATGTTCTAATTTGCTGCTGAATTACAACCATTACATGTTCTAATTTGCTGCTGAATTACAACCATTACATGTTCTAATTTGCTGCTGAATTACAACCATTACATGTTCTAATTTGCTGCTGAATTACAACCATTACATGTTCTAATTTGCTGCTGAATTACAACCATTACATGTTCTAATTTGCTGCTGAATTACAACCATTACATGTTCTAACTGTATTTTGGATGTCTTTGTCTAACTTTAGCCAATACACGTAGCTTCTTATTAAGGACTTCATCCTCACTTTTCCTGGATGTCCTATGTGGAATTGTTTTAAAATCCTTTTCTGTAGTGATAATGGAATTACTACTCTTTCTGTGTACAAAAGTACTCTATCACAAATAGAGAATGCTGTATTATTGTTAGCAGGTTTAAGTTTAGTTTCACTTAACATCATTCATAATTTTTTGAATAAATGTATTCTTTATAGAATAAATATTGATATTGTCTATCATGACTGGCAATTCTTTAATAGTGTTACACATCAGGCTTTTAGAAGCAATCACAGTATCTTCAAAATCTTCTTTACATTTCGATATCAATCTGGATAAGCCATCTGCATGTCCCAATTTCTTTGATGATATAAATTCCATCTTGAAATTATAGTTCAACAAAATCATAGCCCAACACTGTAGTATGTGTGGGAATATACTTAATAATGGATGATGATCAGTTTGCAATATGAATTTTCTTCTTAATATCATTCTGTGAAATTTCTTTACAGCAAAAATTATACCAAGCACTTTCTTTTCAATTTGGCTGTAGCATTTTATCGTATTTGTCAAACCTCTTGAAGCATTAGTAACTGCTTTCACTGTACCATCTTCAAATTTATGGCCTACTACCACTCTTATGCTGTATTCACTCACTTTTGACACTACTATTATCTGTTAGTGCAGGTCGTAATGTGTCAGTGATAACTCTGAAGTTAGTAATTTTTTATTTTCTTCAAAAGCTTTTTGACATTCTGCTGGCCAATTCCATTTCATACCCTTCTTAAGTAAATTATTCAAAGGTGCTCACAATTTGTACATATCTGGCATATAAATATTATAATAATTTGCTAATCTGAGAAATGATTGCAGGGTTACCAAATTTGCCAAGGGAGGCATGTCTTTAATGGCACTTGCTTGTGCAGAATCTGGTGGTCTTCCTTTTTCAGTGATTATCTGACTTAAATATTTAATTTCTGTCCAGAAAAAATTCTGTTCATAGATTTTGAAACTGTGATCCTGTAGTCTCTGAAATACTTCCTGAATCAATCTTACATTTTGTATTCTCATAGAACTCTTAATAAGTATATCATCTATGTAAGCAACAACATCGTCTAGTCCAACCAATATCGTATCCATTATTTGCTGGAAAAATACCTGGGGCTACTTTTACACCAAAGGATAATCTTTTAAACTTGCAGAGTCCTTTATGCATATTAATAATCTAAAACTTCTGGCATTCCTGATCCTCTTCAATTTGAAAATATGCTTTAAGCCGGTCAATTTTTGAAAAAAATTTACCACCATTTAATTTGGCAAATATATCCTCTGGAGTTGGTAGGGTATATTCATGTGGTAGGAGGCGGTCATTCAACTCAGTTGAAAAATCTGCACATAAACGAATTTTATTATTTTCCATTGTTGTAAGCCATTCTGAGTAATCTATATTTTTCAATAACTGTGGTTTTTTAAACTATCCAATTTGGTATTAATAGACTCCAATGTAACAAAAGGTTTTAGGCTTAAACACTGGTACCACATTTTCCTTTGATTTTGTACATTTTTCAACTCCTCAGAGAAAATATTCATGAATTTATTTTTTAGTTTACTCAGTGTTTCATTAGCTTTAATTTTTTTCTGATGAACAATTAATTTTTGCAAAGAATAGTTCAGATAATTCTAGCCACTCAACACCTAGTAAATTCAAGTTAGAATTTTTGAATACATACACATCTACTTTTTTAGTTTTACTCACAAGAGCAATGTTACATGTGATTTTCCCAAGAAAAATTAATTTCTTGCTTGATATTCCTCTTGCAACTTTGTCAGTTTTTCTCAAGATAGGCTTGCCAATTCTGTTCCAAGTTTGTTCATCAATGATTTTAATATTGCTATCAGTGTCCAATTTAAATCTCACTATAGTGTTATTCATTTGTAGTGTCACAAATTTTCTATTATTTGAACTTGCCAATTTTTTTTAGCAGGTAGCACTACTTTCAGCAAGTTAATTTGTGTATTTCTTTTGCTTTTTGACTTGCTGTAGCTTTGTTTGTGCCTTGTTTTTCCCAATTAAAACATTTTTTAGTTTTAAATGGACAGTCCATTCTGAAATGAAGCATACCACTGCCATAGCATGGGTTAAATTTTGTAATATTTTCATTGTGGATTTTTTCTTTTGGTACTATTGTCTTTTTTCTAACTACTTGTACTACTGATTTGCTTGATTTTCACTGTATCATGCCTTAAATTGACAATTTTTTGGCACTCTTCCACAATAGTCTGTATAATTAACTTTGAATCCTGTTCAAGTTTTGTAATTATTTGAGTGTATTTCCACATTGTTGCTTGATGTTAGACCTTTAATGAAGATTTAAATCTGTCTGTGGATAATTCATCCAGTTTAAATTTCTCACACTCAGAGTTTACTTTACTGGCATATGTGACAAAATCTTCACTTTCACTCTTAGTAAGGTTTATGCACTGCCAACCTGTATAAAAAAGTTAATTCTTTTCAAAAATTTTCAATAATATCAAAACTGTTTTGTTAAATGACACTTTTTTTGGAGTATTCAACAAAATGAATTTCAGATATTTTTCAGGTTCAGCAGGGCACAATTTTCATAACAGAAAACATACCTTTTTTTTTCATCCGACCATCCTTGACACTATTATCTGAAAATGGCCTCATACCTTCTGAAGTATGATAGGAATGTAATGTTTTGATCTGGGACATAATTAACTTCACTTATTGAGTTAATGACTGATTTCTGCAAAAACAAAATTGATGCAATGTCTGTTCCTTGCTTTCCCAGTATTTCTTTTATCTGTTCTTGATATTTAATCTGCTCCCATTGCATTTATTGGAATCCTTGCTGTTGGTGAATAATTATCTTCAATTCTTCCATAGTGTATTTTGTTCATACAAGTAGTCCTTAACTAGGAAGAAAAAAAAATTTTTCCTTGTGAATTTGAATTCTCGTCGCCGCTGTCATGGCTGCATTGCATTGAAGGAGGATAACATAATCAAGAAGTAGAATGTCACTTAGAGTCAATGTAGCATTGCTAAAATCAGTAGTGAGCAGATACATAGGATCTCTAACTCTCTACTTTTTCTCTCTTTCTACTGATAATTTTCAACATCAGTCTATATGTATTTAGAGGAATTCAAGTCCTCTTCTGGAGAGGTGTGTTCATCTCAACAACAGTTTAGTCATTTTTGCTTAGTGGCATATGCGTTACTTAATGCCAAAATCTAAATATTTTGTATGCAAATTTATTTATTTTTGGAGGTTTTAGTAATACAAGTCTTTCTAATTAATCCATAGCAGTGGTGGGTGGGTGAGGTGGATTCATACCTTTCCCTAGTGTATTTGCATGTAAGTGAATATAAAGAATCCAATAGGTATCGGAACTCAGCTCTCTGATTAACAATTCCAAGCCATTATCCCTTATACCACCTGCACGTCCATGCTTACAGCACCTGGTATTTCCAAGTGATGACTCATCTAGGTACTGACCAGACTCCGCATTACCTAGGTGATCATGGCTATAAGCCCTCAGAAAAAGGAAAATCCCTATATTAATAAAGTATTTAATCATTCTCTTGTCATTTACAAGTATTTATTGGTAACTGTCAGTTAATTTATCAAATAGACACATTTTCAATAAGGCCAAAATTGATTAGCTGAACAGAGACAAAATAACTATTCTGTCAATTTCAAATCTAATGTGTAGCAGTAAAATTACAGAAAAGACATTATTTGCTTTAAATTCATTTTCCTTTCAATAAGGCAATGAAGACTAAAGTATAAAAAAAAATGCTTAAGATTGTTGAAGAAGAATTTCCTGGTGTTTATGGCCACATCAGGTTGAAACACCAGTTCCCGTATATGATCATTGAAGTTATGCATCGTTGAGCCTAGTTAGTATCTAGATAGGTGAACACTTGAGAATACCAGGTGCTGTAACATTGGATGTGGAGGTGGAGTAATGGATAATGGCTTGGAATTATTAATTGGAGGGCTGAGTTACAATTCCCATAGGGCTTGTTATATTCATTTACACACAAATACCCTTGGGAAATGTATGAATCATCTGTTCTCCCCCAGCTATGACTTAATTATTAAGACTTGTATCACTAAAACATTATCTCAAAAAAAAAAAAAAAAATACTTACAACCTAGAAATATTTTCTGGCTTTAAATAACCTGCAAAGGGTTGATAGGCCATAAAAAAATCAATCAATCAATGATAAAGCATTTCCTAGAAGTTGTATAAATGATTCAACAAAAAACCCTTAAAAAAAGTTTTTGCTGCCTGGATAATGTAATCTATCATATAAAGAAGCAGAATTGAAAAGTGCATTCTATAAATGATACCAACACCAAAAGTTGCTGGAACAAGAGCCGTTGTTTGTTAGACAGAAAGTGTGTTTGATACCAAAAAGCAATGAAGACATTCCAGACATTGGGCTGACTGAAGAATCATGGAAATATATATAGAATAAACATAAGATCAGGGATGATATACATACAATAAGATCATGTAAGAACAACCATACTATTTAAATACATATGAGAGTTAGATCAGGGAATGGATCTGGTAAATGCTTGTGGTACTGGATTTGAATGATCTGGTAAATGCTTGTGGTACTAGATTTGAAAAATGAATGCTGTACCTACAGAAAAAATTATACATTCTTGAGTTCAGACAACAAAATAGATTCTTTACCAAAAAAAAAAGAAAAAAATATAGAGAATTACTATTAAGATGTTAACATAAATAAGTACCTTTTATGCTGTCTGCCTCTTGACTGACAACTGGTAAATTAAGGAGATGTTTCTGCATAATGGTTGCATTTATATCAGGGAAGTATATAAACTAAGAATTGCATATGGCTTGTGAACTAATTGTAAATAATGCCTGATGGTGACTTGTCACATTAAACTTATAGTTCTGATTCTTAGTTTTTATTATATATTAAATAGGATAGACATTTTATGCTTATTCAACTTATCTATCATCTTTTCTAAACTAAATAACCTTCCACAAACCTGACTGCTGCAGAAACAAAAATGTATCTGAAATCTAGACCGTGTCCAAGCTTATGGCTCACATGTCATCTTCAAGGAGGGAAGTAAAAGTAAAGGAAGGATTCTGGATATTTTTTGCATCTGCAGCAGCCAGGTTTGTGGAAGGTTATTTACAGTTTAGAAAGGATGACAACTTGAATAGGCATAGAATGTCTATCCTTTTTAATAAAATATGTTTAAAATAACAATTGCTGTCTATTTATAACATATATATATATATATATGATAAAATATAGTTTTAAGGTATGCTATATTTATGGGTTAAAGTGCTCAATATCTGGGATAGAGCACATGGCCTGGCAATTACATTTAGCAAGAAGCAGACTGTTGCCACTGGGTGTTGACTTCAGTGTCCACTATATATATATATATATATATATATATATATATATATATATATTTATATAGACATAATCAAATCACCACATTTTATGATAATTTTAAAATATTAATTGTATTTCACAAATTTGAACAGACCCTTTACTGAGGAACATGTATACAGAAAAGCAATTTGCACATTAATTATGAAATATACATATCAATATTCCCCCAACACATATCTCACTCAAATTTCACAGACACAGTACTAGATCAGTGACAAGCTTTCATCATTTTACAGTTGAAATGACTAGATGTAACTAAGTTCTATGCTAACAATTTCTTCAACTGAACTTCTTGCTGGTGGAACTCTCTTCCAGCTTCATGCTTTCCAGTCAATTTTAATGTTCAAAAATTTAAATGCACTGTCAATCATCATCTTCTAGCTTTTTAATACTTGTTCTTTCCTCTTCTCATATTCTCTCACTCAGTAACCTCTTGGATCTTACTGGCTTTATTGCCTTGCTTAAAGTGAAATGATAAAAAAAAAAAAAATAAGTTACATGCACACATTCCACTGTGTACATGTAAATAACATCTGACTTGGCAAATTTGTAACAGCAGGAGTCATTGGACACACATCACACTTAGAATTGAAATGCCAATCAATAAACTACATTTGTAGTTTATTGCTTTTGGTCCCAAAAGTGATGCCAACTGAGTTAGAAATTTTGGCCAATCTTGGTAAATAATCAATCTCAACCATGCCACTGGCAGACCAACTTCCACAATAAGCAATCAGTCTTCAACAAGGTTTTGTTTGATAAGTAGTTTAGACAACAGATTAGTTCCAGCCATACAAAGCTAAGAAATAGTCTAAATGACACCACAAAAAAAGAAATTCTATGGTTTGAAAGGCATTAAATCATCTATAAACATTATTTTTTATCCCCAACATTCATAAAACCCATACTTAAAACATGTAAAATCCAGAAACCTGTGGATGATGTATCATAAGTCTTTCACTCGAACACATCAATTATTTCCTGATGCACCCAAATCTCATATATAATAATAATAATATCCATGATAGAATTATACCCACCTACATACCTACAAATTTTGCACAATCTTTTCCTTGCCCATAGAATTCATTCCAACATTAATAACACACATTTAATCAACAGTCAACACATGTATCAACAACACCAAATCTCACCAGGTCAACTAGAAATTCAGTACACACACATACAGTGGGCTATGATAAATTTTTAGCCACCCTTGATCAAATCAATTTTGGCTTGTTTAATAATGCCTCTTCTTTTTTTTTCAGACAATACCATGTTAGTATCAAGCTACTCTCATCTATGAACAATAGTTAACTTACATCTTGCAATGAAAGTTTTTTTTTTTTTTTTTTTTTTTTTTAAGCGTTTCACCCCTAGCAAGGCGGGAAGCCACTAGGACGCAAGGTGTTACAGAAGATTTGGAGCAAGATCAGATAGGAGTGATAGAGGAAAGGATGAGCAGAAGGAAAGTGGATAGATCAAGGCAACTGGAGATGTCAATTGACATTACATTTGAATAGTTGGAGATTATAGCTCTCAGGGAAACTGAAATAGGGAAGGGAGTTCCACAGGCGAGAGGTGCGAGACATGAAGCTATTGCAGTAGAAGAGACGGCTACATTTAATAGTTTCAACAGTGAAAGGGTGAGAGTGGGATGCCAGCCTCGTAGGGTGCTTGAATTCATGAAGTCTGGGAACCAGCGAATGCAGCTCCTCAGAGCAATTACCATGAAAGTATTTGTAAAAAAGACAGAGAGAGGCGACAGCGTGACTGTGAGAGAGCGACTGTAGACAAGATGCCAGAACAGGGCCAATTATATTGCATATCCGCCTCTGGAGCTTATCAAGAACCCCCGAGGCAAACAGAAGGGGTTCCAGACCATATATGGCAGCAATACTCCATGCAAGGGTGAATTGTTGATTTGTAGATCTGAAGGATCGATTCTGGGGAGAAAAATTTCTTGGCACGGCACAGAGAGCCAACTTTCCTTGCGGTGGACGAAGCAATTGACTCAATGTTCCCTCTCAGGTCAGCAGTCAACGCGAGACCGAGCAGCCGCAGAGAGGTGCTCTCGAGAAGTTGAGCATCAGATATTCTAATGGAAGGCAGGGAAGGATCTCTGTGGTGATTAATAGAGAGCAGTTGGGTTTTTGAGGCATTAAAGTTGACCAGCCAATTCCTGCCCCAGTTCACAACCGATTGGAGGACCAGGTTAGTTTTGTCAGCGACACTAGATTTGTTTTTGAGGCAGGAGTAAATTGTGGTGTCATCTGTGTAGATGCCAACTTGAGAATTTATGGCGTCAGGAAGGTCATTTATGTAGATAAGGAATAGAGTGGGGCCTAGGATGGATCCTTGGGGAACATCTGCATTAGTGGGATAGAAACTGGAGGAGAATCCATTGAGAACGATCTTCAATTCACAGTTTGACAGGAATAATTGTATTAGGTCAAACAATCGACCTGTAATGCCATAACCCTGGAGCTTACGAAGAAGGCCGGCATGCCAAACACTATCAAACACTTTGGAGATGTCTAGGGCCATGGCACAAGCTTCCCTGTTATTTTGAAGAGCTTGGTAGACAGTTTCAGTGATGGCCGTAAGCACATCAGCTGTAGATCGGGCAAAGCGGAAGCCATATTGCTTGTCTGAGAGCAGATCATGGGATGTAAGGTGGTTAACCACTTCGGTATTGATTAGGGGTTCGAAGACTTTGCCGAAGAGGGGTAGGAGACTGATAGGACAGTAATTAGAAGGGTCAGAGGGGTCACCAGAGTTCTTGAAGACAGGAACAATCGAACAGGACTTCCAGCAGTCAGGAAAACAAGATTCCTTGAGGCAGTAGTTATATAGTTTAGAGAGGGCGGGCGCCAGTTTAGGTGCGCATTTCTTCAAGACAATGGCTGGTATCCGATCTCCACCACTAGCCTTGTTGGGGTCTAAATTGGAGATAATGCCCAGTACCAAAGACGGGGTTATGTGTAACCTACTCAATATGGCCTCAGTTCTAAGAGGGAAGTTGGGTATGGGTACACCAGAAGAGTCAAGCTTTGAGTTGAATGAAAATTTCCAAGCAAATCATTCAGCCTTGTCGGCAGAGGAGGTCAGGACTTCAAACTGGTTGAACAAAAAAGGTATAGAGGGTTTGCAATTGTTCAATACGCTCTTGCAGAGACGCCAATAATCTTTGGAGCCAAATTTGCGAGATGCAATACACTCCTTCATCCAAGCAGAAAATAGTGACTTAGCATCGTTGAGGACATGCTTACACTCGTTATGGGTGGAGGCAAAGAGATGTCTATTGCATGTCTGACATGTCGCTATGAAATAGGTGAAAGAAGTGTTTCCTATGGGCAATGGCAGCTGAGCAAGCAGCGGAGAACCAAGGGGAGGAGTGCGACTTGACCTTAAATTTCCTTGAGGGGATGAAAGCGTCGATTCCAGCTTTAACCCAGGATGAAACCTCAGAAGCACATTCTTGGATGGGG